CATCTGCTCGGTGCCTGTCCCTCCTATGATACCATGCCCCTTGCAGCTGTGCAGGCCCCCAGCTCTGTGCGGAGTGCCCTGAGCATACGGCCTTTTTGATGTGTGATAAAACAGAGCCGAGCCACGGGGGTACGGTGAGCTAAGGCGCTGGAATATCAATTAACCTGCTCAGAACAAAGCTGGGGCTCCAGTGTGGAGCAGACAACTCACCAAGGTGTCAGGAAGAGGGATAATGTATTCTAATTAGGGGTTGCCGGATACCTCTGCACCAGGCCACCCCTGGACCCACAAACCTAGCGGGGCACAGTGGTGGCAAACGTCTCAGTGTGGCTGGCACGGCTGTCATCGGTCGGTGTGTCCTGACTGATTACTTCTTGCTTTGCCAAAAGTGTTCTCGGCTCTGATTGCCATTCCCCCCTGGTATGGGCGTCCATTTTCCGCTGTGCCGGAAGCCTCTGTGAAAGTTGTGTGTTCTGGGGAAGAGGGCTGAGCCTGGGGCACTCACACAGGGCTCTTCCAGACACTGTCCGTCTAAAGGCCACGGATGTGGACCCACGTGGACACGTGTCTGCCTGCCTGCCCTGTGGGACGAGGGGCTGCCCGTGAATACCTTAGGAGCCTCCTTCAAGTCAGAGCAGACCCGAAGGCCCCCTTCCTCTTCCTAAAGTCTCCAACCCACACAGGAGGTCATCCAAGCCCAGGAGTCAGGAGGTGTCCCTTGTTTTACTTCCTTTCTGTGATCATTGGGAAGCCGACTTTTGCTTGGGTGACGTGGGCTGAGAGCTGTTCCTGTAAATAGCCAGCTGCAAGGGCTTTGGACCCAGTGCTGAAATCTGCTGTGGACTCATGCTCAGGAAGGCAATATTAAAATCAGGTCTTTCCAGGAAGGCCTGCCTCTTCCACTTTCCAGAAGTGACTCAAACCTGCAGTCCCAGGACTTGGAACGCTGAGGCAGGAGGATTGCTGCAGCAGGCATGAGACCAGTCTAGTCTACATAACCAAGACCCTGTCTTTAAAACAAAACAAAGAAAAGGGGGTCTCAAAACTGAATGACCAGCTCCTGTGTAGAGGAAGCAGGCAGGGCTCATGATTTCCACTTCACACTCATCGTAGGAGATGTGTGTACGTGTGCATGTGTGTGGGTATGTGGGTGGGTGGGTGCATACATGTGTGTGTTTGAGAGTTTAGCTGAAGTACCCAAGACGCTGGTCCTCTCCTCCCCATCAGGAAGGGAGGGATCGGGCTGCAGCCATGCCTCAGTCCCTGCAGATGCTCGTTTGCATCTGTGGGGCTTCCTCTTCCTCTTGCCTGCAGTCCAGCACTTTGTTGCCTATAACAAGGACTTGAGGGATCCAAAAGCTGTTAATTTTTTCTCTCTTTTGCTTCATTAGTTCTGAAACCAAGGCTCTGCGGCAGTGTTTCCCTGTATAAAGAATTAATGAAAGCTTGCCTGGTTTCTTCAGGGTGCTTTAGGATGTAAATTTGTTTAGGTTTTTATAAACCCGTCAGTGGAGGCGGCTGACTCCTGAATATTTCAGTAGTGAGGAAGTGTGGGTCTGATAGTATGCACCTGCACACGTGTGTGTGGTCCTGATAGTATGCA